TGTTTCGGGACTTGTGGGAAATCTTAATTGGACTTTTTGCTCTCTCTCGACCTCCCTGACCAAACTTCCTTGGTTAGCTTTGATGAAAGGCATTCGCTTTGACCTGCCTCCCTTTTTTTTAATCTAGAGCTGCAGATATGAGCAGAATGAGAGTCCTCCCCTCTCTTTGAGAGGGTTTGAACGGATTAAACACAATGCACAGAACAACAACAGGCCTGGAACACATTCCAGTCTCCATCTTTTTAGAAAAACCTTCCATTTTTCAGATTTGGCCCTTTTAATTTCATATGTGTCATATCTGAAACACACAGTTTCTGAAATGTTCTGGATCTGAGACCTTTTGCGTCATTTAAAGGTGAAAACTTTGTTCTAAAGCCCTATTGTACACAATCAGATAACAGACTACAAAATAATATTTTTTACTTTACGGGATAGTAATAAGTGATCAATTCAAAAACTATTTTGCCATATAAAAACTTCTGAATAAGACAAAGTACAATTTTCTCTCTATTTGTTTTTGCTTCAGGCTTTAAAGAGTCCCCTGTTCTGAATTTTGCCTCATAGTTTGTCGTCATTACGTGGTTTCAGACTTTAATCCTTCCCTCCATGATCAGATTATGTACTGTTATGTGTCACGGGGTGGATCTTGAGGGAGGACTCAGTCGCGGAGATGCAGAAACAAGGGTTTTATTTCAACAAAAACACACTCAAAAGGAGTGGATGGTAGACAAAGTTCAAAACAAGGCAGTGAAAAAACTATGAACAAAGTATCAAAGCAATATTTAAAAAAAACGTGGCAAAGTGTCAAAACAAAACTGTGACAAAACATGGCTGTGACAAAACTATGAACAAAGTATCAAAGCAATATTAACTAAACTGTGGCAAAGCATCAAAACAAAACTGTGACAAAACATGACTGTGACAAAACTATCACTATGGCACAAAAGCAAGACTATGGCAAAGTATCAAGGAGTAAACAAGGCTATGGCAAAGGTGCAAACATCAAACCCTTACGTGGCGAGGGGTGACGAAAAACTCACAAACGCACTGGCCCAGGAAAACGAGGACTATTTAAACACATGAGGGAGGGGAACCCCAGGTGTAAACATATGTTTATATGTTTATATGTTTATGCATTTGGCAAACGCTTTTATCCAAAGTGACTTACAGAGAAGACACAATATTGCATTTCTCATCACTGTAATATTGTGTCTACTCTGTAAGTCGCTTTGGATAATAGCGTCTGCCAAATGCATAAACATATAAACATATGTGTACACCTGGGGTTCCCAGGTGTACACATATGTTACCAGTGTTGGGGAGTAACGGATTACATGTAACGACAGTACGTAATTTAATTACAAAAAAAGAGTAACTGTAATTCGTTACAGTTACAATGAGAAAATATGTCATTCAGTTACAGTTACTTCCGAAAATATTAAGAATTACAAATTTAGTTACATTTTTTTTTTAAATATAAAGAAAAACCTTTGCAAAATATGCAACTCACTGATAGACGAAGCGTATTGATTTACTAATATTTGACTGTTTGGTGTCGATGCATGACAAACGTTTATCGATGTCTATGACCTAGCCTAGCCTAGCCTAGCCTACCCAACTCCTCTTTTTCCCGGACATGTCCTACATTTCAGACTAGGGTTGTCAAAAACATCGATACTTAAAAAAGAATAGATACTAAAATGTTGTATCCGGATACGACTGACTTGTCTCCGATTTATTTATGTATTTATTTACGTTGTTTATGATCATTAACAAGACGTTAGCCTTGAACTGCTAGCTGCGGCCAATAGCTAATAATAACATGCTAAAATTAATCATGGGTTAATACTCATTAAAACCTTAAAGTAATCAAAAAGTAATCAAAAGTAATTAGTTACATTACTTTTTAAAAGTAATTGAAAAAGTTACACTACAATTACATTTTAAACAAGGTAACTTGTAACTGTAACGGATTACATTTTTAAAGTAACTTACCCAACACTGTATGTTACACAATAGGTAATCAAGACATGACGAGACACACCAGACATTCCCCCAGACGTGACATTATTGCTAAAGACCATCCAGAAGATGTTCACCGGTTTGGGTGCACCGCTTTTGGCCATGACGCATTCACGGCCATCTGGATTTACTGGTCCTCGGTTATAACTTTATGGATAACTCTGACCCCCCCGGCCCCCTTTGTTGCTCTTTTATTTCACACAGACTTGCACTTCAAACCTACTTTTTATGTAAAAAAAAAAAAAAAAGCTCTGCAGATGCAGTATACAGAGCAAAGGGGAAGAACAATGGGGTCCTTTTAATCTGTAGGAACACAGACAAGTGGGGAAACAGGAGGTAGACTACCAAAGCATTGTGCTCACACACCCTGGCTCCTTTTTCTGTGGAATTTCACTCCTCAGGGATCTTCTACACGGCAGCCATTGTGGGTCCAGCAGCGGGTTACCTGCTGGGAGGATACTTCCTCAACATTTACACAGAGCTCCACATGAAGTGAGTCTACTCTAGCCAGTACTGAATATGTAACGACCACTGGAGAATGTAACAGTGAATGGGATTATTATAGAACACTATTGGCTTGAAGTGAAAACGCCGTGATGGAAAAGACAACGGATTAGAGAAGATTAAGAAAAAGATTATTAGAGTACCCTATCGTTATAGTGCAGTGAATAAAAGTGCTGTATAATGTTAAAAAAAACAGATAGGCAACATTTTTACTATTAAATTTATGAATTTACAGTTTATTTTGAGGGAATTATTCAAAGTGTAAGAAAAAAGTGTAAGGAAAGTTGGAATTTCAGACTTTTGTGTCCCACAAAAGGTGAAGAATCCCACTTAAACATAAAGATACACATCTATAGATACAGTTTTAGATAGAGTCTAAGTCTAAGTCTGTGCAGCTGAGTTATCAACTACACTCTGATATTTACCATTGTGAGGATGTTAGCTTGTATTATATTAACTCAAATAAAAATAGAACAATAAAAGATGGGATCTAGGAGACTAGGAGATCTTGCACTAATGCAGCTATTAAAGGTCCCAGTTGGGTGTCTGAGAAGTGTTTGACTTGGTTTCTGGTCCCAGGACAGAGATGACTCCGGAAAACCCTCACTGGGTGGGGGCCTGGTGGATTGGCTTCCTGGCAGGAGGAGCCGCGGCTCTTCTGGTGGCCTTCCCCATCCTGGGATACCCCCGCCAGCTTCCAGGTATCATTTTCTCACGTCCTCCCTTTGGTCAATAAACTCCACTGGTTACTTCTGGCTGCCCGTATCAAATTCAAGTCCCTGATGCTAGCTTACAAAATGCTTAAGGGTACAGCTCCCGTCTACCTGAATCCTCTCGCAAAGGCTTATGTCACAACTCAATCACTCCGGTCATCAATGGATTGTCGTCTAGCAGAGCCTTCACCACGCTTAAAGGGGACATATTATGCAAAACCAAGTTTTTAATCATTTGATTATGTATATTCGGGACTGTGGAGGGCCTATCAGCAGGCAAAGTGTGAAAAAAAAATGACTGGGTCATGTTATTGTGGGCCGCCTCAGTCTGAATCCAGGAGATAAATCAGGAGGTTTCAGGAGTGGGTAGTTTCTGACGTCATTAGCTCTAGCTCATTATAATATTCCAGCCTTTCACCTGCATGTTGCCCCCCCCCTCAGCTTACTCCCCTATCTGTGGAGACGTCGAGGTAGCGTGAGCGTTAGCATGGTAGCATTAACGTCAGCATGGTAGCGTTAGCATGGTAGCGTTAGCATGCTAGCGTTAACATGCTAGCGTTAGCGTGCCGGCGTGGGCACACCTCCCTGAAGAAGTGGGTGGATTGCCTGTGTCTCATTTGCATTTAAAGAGACAGGCACTCCAAAGCGAGCGCTCTGAACGGGGCTGTTTTGGGTTAGGGTTAGGGTTAGGGTTAGAGTTAGGGTTTGGCAGGGGGACTGAACTGCTATTGGGCTTCATCCTTATGGGATTTTGACCAAAGCTTGTCACAGACATTACATCAGGACACCAGGGAACTAGCTTAACTTGTTGAAATAGGGTATAATATGTCTCCTTTAAGACAATCAAGACTGTTTAAATGTGTCGTTCCAAGATGGTGGAACCACCTACCAAGCTACAAAAACAGCAGCGTCCCTATCCTAACCCTAACCCGTACCTCTATCCCCCACAGCTCCTATCCTAACCCTAACCCGTACCTCTATCCCCCACAGCTCCTATCCTAACCCTAACCCGTACCTCTACCCCCCACAGCTCCTATCCTAACCCTAACCCGTACCTCTACCCCCCACAGCTCCTATCCTAACCCTAACCCGTACCTCTACCCCCCACAGCTCCTATCCTAACCCTAACCCGTACCTCTACCCCCCACAGCTCCTTCTGTAGTCCCTCTACCTCTATCTCTATCTCACCACTGACTCTGATCAGTATTTCTCCTCTCTATAGCTTACTGTCATAGTGATGATAAATGTAATATTGTGTCTACTCTGTAAGTCTTTTTTGGATAAAAGCGTCTGCTAAATGCAGAAACATAAACGTAAACACACGGCTTAACGAGCGGCCGACTCCTCGACGTCATACGGGAGGTTGTGGGTTCAAATACCAAAAAGGGGAAATGCACATGTGTATGTTTGATTTTGTAAGTCGCTTTGGATAAAAGCGTCCGCCAAATGCATAAACATAAACATTTTTAGACCGCAATTTTACCGACAGGTTCGGAGTTTTGTCGGAAATTCGCAAATGTCTGTGACAGGATGTCGTTTTTATCCCGCAGGCTCCCAGAAGCACGTGGCCATGCGGGTGTCCGAGGCCCACCAGCTGAAGGACGGGAGCCACACCACCGCCTCAGACCCCCAGTTCGGCAAGTCGGCCAAAGACATGCCCAGGTAGCCGGGGGG